AAATTATATTTTAGCGGTTTTAGTACAAAAAAATTTAAATGGCTTCCAGAGTAGAATTTCCTGGTAACTGAATGGGAGAAAAACATGGCAGAAGTAGGGGGCTCTATACTTCCCGCCCGCATCTCTCAAACAAAGGACTGAAGCCAAAGGACTCTGAACCCCAAGAGTCTGGGAGGAAAGGAGACAGAGTCTACTAGGAAGAAATTCCTGGTAACTATAGGGCCCACCATAGCATAAACTTTGTGAGACAATATGAAATAGCAAACACCAGTCACTGCCAAACAGGCTTCCAAGGGCAAACTGCTGAGAGCATTATCAATTATGGAAGGTCTTCAATTTCATCTTTGAACACTGGCACCCAGGCTATTGTCATACCAGGTTCACTCACAGAGGTAGCTGTGACCACTTCCTTAGAGCGGTCTCAGCCCTTTGAAAGCAGCAGATAGTATGATGGTTAGAATACAATAGTTAACAAACAAGATAGTTCTGAATCTGAATCTGGAATCTACTGGCTACTAGCTATGAGGACCTGGGCAAATCATCTGACCTCTCTAAGCCTACTACTTCCTCTTCAGTAAAATTGGGAGAGCAAAATTCATCCCAGAGGACAGTAGGGAAGATTTAATGAGGTAATTTACATGGTGCTTCATGTATATAATAAGCTTTTAATAAAAGTGATCACTTTTAGGAGGGCCACCCCTTCTCACCTGTCCCAATCATTAAATGAATGGAGTTGCTATCTTTGGGAATTAGTTTGCTTAAGGAACTTGGAACCCTTCATCAGCTTCCCTATGTTATACAGCATTCCTATGTTAATCCTAATTTGCAATTTGCTAAATTTATTTTTTTTATCATCCATTAGAGTCAAATGTGACATATTTGAACTTCTGCAAGATTTTCAGAACTCTGACCTTAAAGTTTCAAAACATTCTTAGTCCCTAAATCCCTATCTTAATCTCAAATGCTTAATCCCTGACTTGCTGGTACCACTGGATATATTGCAAGGGGTCACTTTCAAAACTGGTTTTTCATGTTCATCAAAGATAAATTATAATAGCTATAGTGAGGTGGTAAAATCATTTTGGTTCTCTATTTTCCCAAACAGACCATTATGTTTTATTAGTCACAGGGACATTTTTAAAAAATAAAACTATGCACACAGTTCAATTCCAACTTTATATTTTTGGAGATTTTATCCAGCTTTATTATAGCTCTCATTCAGGACTCTATCCACATAAATTAATAGAACAGCAGCACATGTCTGTAAGATGGCATGAGCTGACCTATCTATGGCAAGGTTAAATGCTGATACTTAAATGTAGGAAGGCTTTGTCTACAACCAAAAGTGCCTGCTGGGAGAACTATTAGCAGAATGGTAAATCCCAGCAGAAGCTAATATCCTCCTACAGGCTGTGGAAAGATACTCAGGGTTTAATAGTAAAAATGTTTAGGAAAAGAAGTTAAAATCTCAATTCTCTCCCTTGAGGAAAAACTGAAGAGAATGAGCTAGGATTACATGCTGGTTAATAATGGGCCAGGTAGAAATCAGCATTCATTACTGAGGCATCAGATTTGAAAAAGAATGTTAACGAGGTTTAGGGGCACCTGGGTGGCCCAGTGGGTTGTGCATCCAACTCTTGATCTTGGCTCAGGACGTGATCCCAGGGTGGTGGGACTGAGCCCTGCCTTGGGCTCTGCACTGATGGTGCAGAGCCTGCTATGGATTCTCTCTCTCTCCCCCTTTGTCCTTCCCCTGCTCAGGCTCTCAAAATAAACACTTTAAAAAACAAAACAATGAACTAGGTTTATATTTCAGCAAATTAAAATAAAGCTAAACACACTAACTATTTTTCTAAAATTATTCTAGGAATTAAACAAAACCCCTTAAGATAAGTGGAAACATCTCAGAGTTGTACCCACAAAAAAGGGAAGCCCCAAAATCACTACCCTCAAAAAGTGGATTTAACAAGATAACAGATTCATTCTGACCCACCTCCAAGTGGTGCCAGGGCTAATAACATGTTTTGTGGGTAGAACTGACACTGGGGGGGGGGAGGGTTAAGAATCATAGGCATTACCAGGAGGGACCTCAGAGATCACCTATTTCAACTATCTCCCTTCCGAGATAAACCAAGCATTCCCCTCAAAGCAAGTGGCTTGCCCAGTCTGGCTACTAAGTCAGCCATATATGGTTGGAAAAGGAACTCGAATGCAGCACCCTTGCTTCCCAGTGCAGGGCTCATTTCTTCTGCAAACTGTGGGCTCTCTAAAGAGGTTTCCTGTGCAACCGTGCACAACACTCCACCTCCCCACGTCCCTACTCTATAATAAAGCTTCAGTGGTGATACCTGCTCCTGGGAGGGGAGCGAGGATGGCAGGGTAGGTGGAGAAACTCCACACAGCTCAGTCAGAATGGAGTAACTTTGGCAGCCAGCACACAGGTGACTCATACCTGCCTTACTCCACTGACCAAACCCTTTGGGGGAAACCCGGCCTCAGAAAGTCTGGGATCATTTGGGACCACTGGTATAGTTCAAAAACTCAGGACAAATGAGAACGGGATAACCTATTCTTTGGTTTCTATGAGCCTTTCTCATTACCTTCTTCCTCTTTCCTAATGACCACACCTCACAGGGCTGTTCTGAGGACTGAGGGAACACACTGCCTACACTGGGCAGATTCCAGTCCTTGGGAGAAGGCTGAAGAACCAACCCTTTGCTACAAGCATGAGGTAAGGGTCATCCCTGTGAGAAGCACTTGGAGTCAAAGCCACATTGACCAGAGAACAAGGACCATCAAGGAGTGGAAGGGCAGGAAAGAGAACAGAATTCAGGAACAAGGGGGAAAGTGTAAATGGCTTTGATGAAAGGATCATGTGTTTTGCTTTGTTTTGTATTTTAGAGAAAGGGAGAGAAGGTGCAAGCAGGAGAGGGGCAGGAGAGAATCTTAAGCAGGATTCCCGCTCAGTGTGGAGCCCAGCATGGGGCTCAATCCCATGACCCTGGGATCATGACCTGGGCCAAAGTCAAGAGTCAGACGCTCAACCAACTGAGCCACTCAGGCGTCCGATAGTTTTTAAAAATACATCAAAATGAATCATTTTGCTTTAGTGAAACTTGGAATTTGCAATAATAACAGAAGTTATCATGAAGTATTTTCCACGCTGGCGGGCACTTACCACTTGCTCAGTTATGTCTCACAAGCACCCTAAGAGACAGCGAGCATCTCCATTTTACAGATAAAATAACAAGTAGCTCACCACTCACCCTAAGTTATTTGGTAAATGGCAGAGGAGAGACTCAATTCCAGCATCTCCTACCAAACTGTTTTTTTTGACATCTATCTTTTCATAATGACATTTCATTTACCCCCAAGAGAGTTCAAGAATAAGGTAGCATAAAATTTTTCGAGGTAGGACTTACTTCTCTAAGCCTCACACATTTTTCAACTATTTCAATGGCAAAATTAAATGTAAACAGACTTCTCTTTTTGAGTGAAGCATGTAGATAAAGAATCGCGTGTTTCTGTGTCCTGGTGAATCTGGGCCATCACCAATCTCAGCGCCATGTGGCACAGCAGCACCCTTGGGGAGAACGAGCTGCAGACAAGTCAACCCCCTGCACGAGCAGCCTGGCCGTTCCTGCAGCAGCAACAGGAACGCACAGATGCTGAGCAGGAACACATCCTTTAAATGTTTACCAGCTTCTTTCAGAAGTTGAGAAACTACACACATATGTTTTTAAAGACCCGATGTGAAGACTGAGTTCCCAACAGTCAACCTGACACAATCACCATCCACTGTGGCTGCAGAATATATGGTTTTCTCCCTTCAGACCCTTTGGTTAGCTCGCAGAGCTGACATGTCAGCAAGGTAAACTTGGCTTTACAGCTTTTACAGAATACTAGATCTGCCTACTCTCCTCCTCCGTCTCAGTTTCTCCAGGCATGTAAGATATAGAGCAAGGGTTCTACTGACAAAACATTGGACCTTTCTGGAAATGATCATTTGAGGAGATCCTTAAAAGCCCCTAGCTCTTCTTCATATCAGTACCCCATGGTCACTCCCACCCCTTCCTGATACTCTCCATCGTCCCCTTAATTCTACAGTTCTTACTGGCTGTAGCCTTCATTATATTTTAAAACTTCTCACTGACACATTAGGTGTGTGTATCCCTAACCACCCAGTCCTTTATCTGTACCAATGCAGAGCACACAATATAGGACTCCTTGCCAGTGTTCAATTCATGGCAGATTCCTCCCTCTGATACCACTGCCCTCTCCTGTGGAACTATGGTTTCTGGGTTACTTCCGACAGGACTTGGATCCCACTTATCTGCGAACGAACAAACAAAATCATAAAGGTGAAACTGGAACTCCCCATCTTCTGCTCCACAGTTTCAGGGTAAGGTACTCCCCTCATCAGCAAGGGAGAAGGAAAAACTTCACCAATCACAGCGTGAAGAACTGACACAATCTCCTGTTCAGAGCAGCTTCCGATTCATGTGATGCAGGCCACTCATAAAGTCATACTTCCCTTCCATGGATTCCTGTGCAAAAAGACTAGCAAACCCTAAGAGCCGAACATCCAAGTGCAAGTGTTTTCACAAGGATCCTGTAAGGAGATCTCTTTAGGAGCAAGGACTCACAATACTGAGGTGTCTGACATACCAGGTATTACTTCTCCATGAAGAGGTTTTGATTCAGGCTCAGAAATACCAGGCAAAGGATCGGTTCTCCTGGACTTTCACTCACCAGCCCCCGTGGCCATTTAGCTATGTCAAATTGGCAGAATTTGATTTGTACAAGCTTATCTGGTAAATGCTGGGGTCACTGAGGAAGAAAACTGCCTAAAGACCTAACCCCCAAGGACACACAGCAGCCTGCTGCCACCATGTGGCAACTTGGTGCAATTGTGGAAGCAGCAAATCCTGCAGGGCAGAGCTTTTAAGGAAAACAAAATTAAATGTGTCTACCAAAGCATACCATATTAAGGCCATGTATATAATATAAAAATAGTTAAGTTTATTAAATGTCTCAGATATCTGGGTCAGAAGCATGTATTAGTCTTAACTAGTGCTACAGCAAAGAAAGCTTTCTTGACCTTTGTGACTTGCCTCAGAGCCTCATTCCACCAGCACAGAACCACTCAAAGCCTGTTCTAGACTGATGTGCTCAGGAGAGAAAAAACAGCCAACAAACACAGAAAGGATAAACAAAAACCAGCTGTGGTCCCCCTGCCCCCTTGTCAGAGGATATGTTATTTATAGCCAATAATGGCTTGGTTTGTTCTGGGCAGGAGATAGGAGAATGCATCAGTGGATGAATGAATGAATCGACAGGCAACAATCTTAGTCCTTGCCCACTTTCTTCTCTTTACCCCATGGCAGCTTTGTCACATGTCCCTCAACTTCAATGCAATTAACACCGTTATTCGGGGAATGAAGGCAAAGATGGGCCAGGAGAGGAAATATGGGAGAAACTTCCTTGGCAGAACCCAAGTTCAGAGATGAGGCCTCCTCAGATGAGGAAGATGATGCCCTCAGAGACCATGACCTGGTTGTCATCCTGCATCTTGCTCAGGGCAGCCTGGATCTCTGCTGAAGAGAAAGGTTCTTCTTTGTCCCGGTTGATGGATTCTGTTAGGCGATTCATGCCCACTGACTGTGCATGAGCTTCCCGGAACACATCTAAGAGGGCCGCCTTGAATTCCTTCAACCTGTCCAAGTCAGGAAAAGATGGATGAAGGAGAAGTAAACAAGCCCAAGTGCTCTTGTTAACACAATACAGGCATCCCCCAATATCTCCTCTATTATAGAGCTTCCTGAACATTTTTAAGTATATATCCTTTGACCAACGGAGTCCATTTCTAGAAATTATCCTTACAACTACGCTTCCACAAGTACACAGTGATAAATATAAGAATGTTTTATTGTCAACAGCAGCTTTATAGAACCTAAGTGTCCATCATTAGAAAATGCAAATAAATTCATACATCCATACTACAGTCATTAAAAAAGAAAATCTAGGGGCCTCTGGGTGGCTCAGTCAGTCAAGTGTTCAACTCTTGGTTTCAGCTCAGGTCACAGCACAGTTTGTGGGTTCAAGCCCCACAGTGGGCTCCCCACTTTCAGCTTGGGATTCTCTCTCTTCCTCTCTCTATGCCCCTCCCCGCACATGCATGTGTGTGCTCTCTCTCAAAATAAATAAACTTAAAAAGAAAGAAAATCTATAAGTTCCCGAGAACGTGTTTTAAAATACAGTTCAAGGGCACCTGGCTGGCTCAGTTGGAAAAGCGTAAGACTCTTGACCTTGGGGTCGTGGGTTCGAGCTCAAAGTGGGGTGTAGAGATTACTTAAATACTTAAAAAAATAAAATAAAATATAGTTCAATGGTGTTTCTGGGGGATAGAACTGCAATTGATTTTAATGTCTTTTCTTAAACACTTTTCAATGTTTTCATATTCTCTTCAGTAAACATATTGTGTTGTATGCTTGAAAAAAAGCCAACTATAATTATAGATTTTCTTTGGTGTCCAGTACACATAAAAATTTACATATAAAACTGTTTCTGAACCTCTAGTGGTAAAAATTCCTCATCCCAAAGCAAAGAGCAACAATTCAATAAAGAAATGTGTCTGTATCCTACTGAAAAGAACTCAAGGTTACAGTAAGACAAAAATTTTGTTCTTGCTTCAAGACTCTCCTTCCTGATCTCCCAGGGACACCATATTCAAAATTCCCACAGAGCACTGTTTATAAAGCAAATGGTAAAATGTAAAGTTTGAAATTATAATATAAATATAAAATCAGAATATAGAATGTTCTAAATATCACTGGGCCTACGATTCTGAGCTCTGCTGATAACCAGCTTGTTTCATGCCCTCTCCCCAGAAAGCAGTCCTTGCCTCAGGGGCATTCACTTCCCTACTCACCTGGATTCACTCAATTCCACCTTCTGGGACTCCTTGGTCTCCTGTGAGTCTGCAGTCTTTGGAGTGTGCACTTCAGAGGATAAAGGTTACAGTCAATGGGAAGACGACAGGTGAAGCCATTTCCACAAACACTAGACAAGTAATCTCCACTCCCCACACCTCACTGAGTCTGCCAAATACTCACTTCCTAGGGTTCTTAAGGGCCAGCCAGGGTAAAGTAGTCAGACAGGAGACCCTCAACATACGTTATCTTGGATGCTTACGCCAGGCTTGGCAAAAAGTACAGCTCATCAAGAAGGAAGCAAACCACTGAGCAAATGGAGCCCAGTTTCCAAAATTTTGACTGGATTTCCCAAAGTTCCCTTTAGGACAAACTCTTAGACCCAAAGCTCTGAGCAGGGAACCAAATGGGAATCCACAGATAATGCAGTACACAGAGCAACTCAAGTCAGCAAAGGAACCATCCCTTTATCAGGAGGGGGCACTCACTCACCTTGAGGCATTTCCTCCTCTGTGTCACTGAAGTCATAAGGGTCATAGGTGTCCCCATCCTTGGCATCGGAGTGACGAGTTTTCCTCCTAAAAACGCCCACAGCAGTCAAGAGAAAGGCTTTGGGGAAATCCATCCTGTGCCTCCGACCAGAGGAAAAGAACTAGAACTACCTACAACCAAAGTCAAACACTAGGCCAAAGCCTGTAACAAACTGTTACTTTTACTTAAGAGATCAAAAGCCTCCAGACTAGAACACAAACAATCCTGCTTCCCAACGCTTTCTCCCTTATAAATTCAACCACAGGCATGAAAGGAAAAAGTAATCATGAGGAAAGGATTTTGAAAGATACACTCAAAAACCCAAGTGAGTTAGTGCTCCTGGTACTTAGCTGTAGCAGGAAAGAGGTCAAAAGCACCATGACAAAGACAACAGAGGGGCATGCTCACTCTCTACTTTGTCTAGGTTATCTCTGGCCTCCAACCCTGCAGATCTAGGCACCCTTTCCCTAAAACCTGGATGTTGACCAGCAGTACTTGATCCACCTCCTCCCCTCTCCCTGGCCCTGACTGTATTCTTTTCTCATTTCTTTTTGCTCCGCCTTACCTCTTCCTCTTCTGCTCTTGGTCCTCCTGGCTTTTCTCCTCTTCATCATCTGTCTCTGATTCATCCTCATTTCGCTTCTTACGTTTCTTCTCCTTCTCTAGAACCTAAGACCAAGCCAAGCACAGGTGGGCGGGAAGGGTCACTGATTCTGGGCACCTGAATAAAGAACTCTGAATAAGAGTCCCTTCTACACCATCAGCTGAAAATCTTCCATGTCTAATGACTAAGCCTCTTTTGTCCCTGAGTCCCAGGACCAGGGGCAGAGGAAAAGGCTGCTACCTATCTTTAAAAATGTTGAGAAGTATGTTCAATGCCTTTCACATAAAAGGTATTTAATGAGTGTTTATAGTATGAAAAAAAAAGGCTGGCCAATAATGGTTAAGTGGAAAACAATTCATTTCTTTACAGATCAGGTGTTTAATTTAAATTTAAGACAACTCCCACCCTAGCAAAAAAAGTAAACCAGGAAATGCTTATGAACCCACAATTAAAGCCCAGAGTGGCTGTAATTCACTAAAGTGGAAAGGAGGTGGGCAATGAGGAAAAAGAAGTCAGTAAAGGCTTCAAGGCCTGGGTGTCTAAAATGACATAAACACAATGTCACACACAGAAATTGAGAGACAGAAGAATAAGAGGCAAGTTTGATAGTTCAACTTTTTTTTTCTTTAAGAGCTATGAGGAAAGGCTCCACATCGCTCCATATCTCTGTATTTACTGTATCCCAACCATCTAGAGTACCTGGCACCTAGAAGGGGCTCTTATATTTCATTTGAAATTTATCTGAATTCCCAGTATTACACTGTCAACTTTTTGAGTGTACTGAGTTTGGATATCTTTTGCAGCGCCAATCCAGTGACTATTATCCAGAAGTATAACTACTACATTTCTTTTTTTTCTTTACCTTTCTCTGAACAGAAAACTTAGACCACGAGGCTTTCAAATATATGCCAACAAGGTGCTGGCTCTTTGGGCGTAACCTGTATGACACACACATTGCATTATCCCATCGGGCTGATCTCTTCCTCGTGGGGTGGGACCCTGATGGAAGCCTGTCACCTGGAAGGTCACTGAAAGCCTATGGTGTTTGTAACCAAGGGTAAGAAATAGTCTTGAAGTGTGAGAGAAAGTCTTCCAGGAAATTATGTAAAAGAGAAGGATCATCGTTTTCTTTCCAAATATATGTCCAAATATATATATGTCCAAATATGTACTGAATGTATGTAACTTATTCTAAGAACATGTAAGGCATTCTTTTTTTTAAAGTTTGTTTTGTTTATTTATTTTATATAATTTATTGTCAAATTGGCTAACATACAAAGTGTACAGTGTGCTCTTGGTTTTGGGGGTAGATTCCCAGGATTCATCACTTACATATAACATCCCAGTGTTCATCCCAACAAGTGCCCTCTTCAATGCCCATCAACCAAATTTTCCCCTTTCCCCCACGTCCCCTCCCCCCTATCAACCCTCAGTTTCTTCTCTGTATTTAAGTCTTTTTTGGTTTGCCTTCCTCCCTCTCTGTTTGTAACTATTTTTTCCCCTTCTCTTCCCCCCTTGGCCTTCTGTTAAGTTTCTCAAGTTCCACATGAGTGTGATAGTTCAACTTTCAATGCCAAGTTTTTGAGAAACTAATGGGATACCTCAAGAGACTGGCAAAGGAAAAAGGTAGAGAGGGGGTAAGAAGATCATCAGAGTCAATCCTTTGGAAACATCTACTTTTTTAAGAGATAAAGGAAGTACGAGTAGACAGAGAAGCAGTCTCTTGATGATGTAGCACATCAATTAAACCAGAATCTCTGGGGCCTCTAGAGGCTTTAGCATCAGTATTTTAAAGCTTTGCAGTTGGTTCTCACACACAGTTAAATGTTGCTTTCCAATGATGATCTAAATGCAGGTGTCAGCCATGGAGAGCTGGGCAGCCCTGCTCTCCATGAACATACCAACATTTACTCAGAAAAAGCTCTCATGCCCAAGCATCTGAACCCTCACCTTCTTGAAGTAAGCATACTGGACCAATTCTACAGCTTCCTCTGCATCCTGCAGGTCCACAGTCTTGCTCATGCGGGCCTTGGCATGGGCTGTGGCCAAGCGAATCAGAGTTTCCAGTGTCCGGGCTGTAACTGGTGATGTCTGGGGAAGAAAATAAGGGAGGATTACTTGTCCAGAATTCCATAGGCATGCGTGTCATTCCCACTGCACAGAAAAGGATGAAGATACTACCAGAATGACTCTAAAGAGTACAAGAATTCAGAGCTCTGTATTCTATATAAACACCTTACAAAATTCAGAAAAATAAAAATAACCAAGGAGATCCAAATGTTGAGGGAGAAAAGAGTAGGTGAACAGAAAAGAAAATGAGACATCTTACAGCTAGAAAGAGAAAAAGCCAGAAAGACTACAATAATGAAAGAAGAATGATAATCCTTCACTGCCAGCCTGCAATGCTCTAGGAACTTTGCTTTTGTATCAACTAAGTCATTTAACACTCTCAATAACTCCTCCAAGTTTTATAGATGAGGAAAATGGGACTCAGGGCTTCAGGTAACTTGTGCAAGGCCACACTAGGGCAGGGGTGTGAAAGAAGTCATCTGAGGACGATTTTTTTTAATGCTTATTTTTGAGAGAAAGACAGAGAGAGGGAGGAGAAGAAGAGGGAGAGAGAGAGCAGGTGCGCATGAGCGGGGCAGAGGCAGAGAGAGAAGGAGACACAGAATCTGAAGCAGGCTCCAGGCTCTGAGCGGTCAGCACAGAGCCCAACGCAGGGCTCAAACTCACGAACTGCAAGATCATGACCTGAGCCAAAGTCAGACACTTAACCAACTGAGCCCCCCAGGCACCCCTGAGGACAAAATTTTAAAGTAAGGTAAATTCAAGTCCAGAGAAGGAGAATTCTGGCATGCTCCCATCAAGTGATTCTCATGGACATGGGTGCATACCAAACTGGTGTGCTTCTATCTTTTTTAAATGCTACTGGCTAAATGGTATCTCTGGACTCATGAGTCAGAATGTCTGTGTTTAGGAATGGTCATGTATAGTTTTTCAGTTTCAGGGGATTTTGATATGCCTGCCCAGTTAAGCATCTGTGACATTATCTAGCGTTTTCATTTTTTTTTTTTTTTTAGTGTTTATTTTTTTATTTTTGAGCGAGAGAGAGACCGAGTGCAAGCAGGGGAGGGGCAGAGAGAGAAGGGACACAGAATCCGAAGCAGCCTTGAGGCTTCAAGGTGCCAGCATGGAGCCTGATGCGGGGCTCAAACTCACGAACCATGATATCAAGACCTGAGCCAAAGTTGGACGCTTAACCAACTGAGCCACCCAGGTACCCCTGGCCTTCTCAATTCCTGGATTTAAAAAAAACAAAAAACCCACGGCTTGAAAGTGAAAGGATTTGTGAAAGGCCCAAAAATTGACTGAAGACTTGGGATCAGAACAGAGGGCTAGTTCTTTCTGTTGCACCCCCACATCTCCCACTGTGATTCTTCAGTGATGGAGCTGGTCACTTCTACTTCCAAGTTTCCCCAATTATCATTTATACCCCATCCCATGTTCAAAAACAAATACACTCACTTTTACATAAATTCACCAAGTCTTTTAATGGTTTAGAAGCTACCAGAATTTGGAGGTTACACACTACATTAAAAGCTCCAATTCCTTGGCAAAGAGGAAGTCAAACTTTCACTCTTCGCAGATGACATGATACTCTACATCGAAAACCCGACAGACTCCACCAGAAGCCTACTAGAACTGATCCAAGAATTCAGCCAAGTTGCAGGGTACAAAATCAACGTAGAGAAATCGGTTGCATTTTTATACACCAATGATGAAGCAACAGGAAGAGAAATCAAGAAACTGATCCCATTCACAATTGCACAAAAAACCATAAAATACCTCGGAATAAACCTAACCAAGGATACAAGAGATCTGTATGATGAAAACTACAGAAAACTTATGAAGGAAATTGAAGAAGACACAAAGAAATGGAAAAACATTCCATGCTCATGGATAGGAAGAATAAATATAGTTAAGATGTCATTACTACCTAAAGCACTCTACACATTCAATGCAATTCCAATCAAAATTGCACCAGCATACTTCTCAAAACTAGAACAAACTATCCAAAAATTTGTATGGAACCACAAAAGACCCCGAATAGCCAAAGTAATACTGAAAAATAAAACCAAAACGGGAGGTATCACCATCCCAGACTTTAGCCTCTACTACAAAGCTGTCATCATCAAGACAGTATGGTATTGGCACAAAAACAGACTCATAGACCAATGGAACAGAATTGAGAACTCAGAAGTGGACCCAAAAGTATACAGCCAACTGATCTTTGACAAAGCAGGAAAGAATATCCAATGGAAAAAAGACAGCCTTTTTAACAGATGGTGTTGGGAGAACTGGACAGCAACTTGCAGAAGAATGAAACTAGATCATTTTCTCACACCATGCACAAAAATCAACTCAAAATGGATAAAGGACCTGAACGTGAGACAGGAAACTATCAACACCCTAGAGGAGAAAGCAGGAAACAGCCTCCTTGACCTCCACCGCAGCAACTTCTTACTTGACACATCCCCAAAAGCAAGGGAATCAAGAGCAAAAATAAACTGTTGGGACCTCATCAAGATTAAAAGCTTCTGCACAGCCAAGGAAACAACCCAGAAAATTAATAGGCAACCAACGGAATGGGAAAAGATAGTTGCAAATGACATATCAGATAAAGGGTTAATATCCAGAATCTATAAGGAACTCACCAAACTACACGCCCGAAAAACAAACAACCCAGTGAAGAAATGGGCAGAAGACATGAACAGACACTTCTCCAAAGAGGACATCCAGATGGCCAGCAGACACATGAAACGATGCTCAGCATCCCTCCTCATCAGGGAAATACAAATCAAAACCACACTGAGGTACCACCTCACGCCAGTCAGAGTGGCTAAAATGAGCAAATCAGAGAACTCTAGATGCTGGCGAGGATGTGGAGAAACGGGCACCCTCCTACACTGTTGGTGGGAATGTAAACTGGTACAGCCCCTCTGGAAAACAGTGTGGAGGTTCCTCAGGAAACTAACAATAGAACTCCCCTAGGACCCAGCAATAGCACTGCTAGGAATTTACCCAAGGGATACAGAAATGCTGAGGCATAGGAGCACGTGTACCCCAATGTTCATAGCAGCACTCTCCACAATAGCTAAAACATGGAAAGAGCCTAAGTGTCCATCAACAGATGAATGGATCAAGAAGATGTGGTTTATCTATACCATGGAATACTACATGGCAACGAGAAACAATGAAATCTGGCCATGTGTAGCCACATGGATGGACCTTGAGGGTGTTACGCTGAGCGAAATAAGTCAGGCAGAGAAGGACAAATATATGTTTGCACGTATAGGAGGATTAGGAGGAACTTGACGGAGGAACAAGGGGGAGAAGAAGGGGGGAAATGGTGGGGGAAAGGGAGAGAGGCAAACCATGAGAGACTCTTGAATGCTGACAAAAACTGAGGACTGATGGATGTGGGGGGGAGGGGGGGATGGGCATGGAGGAGGACACTTGTGGGGATGAGCACTGAGTGTTATGTGGAAACTAATTTGACAATAAACTATTTGTAAAAAAATAAATAAATAACAAAAGCAACGTAAAAAAAATTAAAAAAAAATAAAATCCAAAAAAAAAGCTCCAATTCTTTTTTTTTTTAATGTTTTTTTTTTATTTATTTCTAGGAGAGAGAGAGAGACAGCATGAGCAGGGGAGGGTCAGAGAGATAGGGAGTCACAGACTGAAACAGGCTCCAGGCTCTGAGCTGGCAGTCAGCACAGAGCCCGACGCGGGGCTCGAACCCACGAACCGCGAGATCATGACCCAAGCGAAAGTCGGACGCTTAACCGACTAAGCCACCCAGGCGCCCCAAAAGCTCCAATTCTTGAATAACCTATAAAGAGTGACTGAAATCCTAGCCTGTATTAGCAGAACTACAGAATCCAAATCGAGAGATTTACCAGACCCACTAAGACCACAACTAAAATAGTGTATTACATTCAATGAGAGGGCTTCTAACACACTGAACATGTTCACATCATGAGAGAAACAGTTAAAAAGAAAAGGGGGTCCTTAATCTGAAGAAAAATCATACACAATCAATAGAAAACAAATTAAGACCTGTGGGTCTACACCATAGAAGAATATTCTAAGAGCGATGTACCAGGCATGCTGACACTGGCGGTGTCAAGGAAGTCTTAGCAGAAATTCCATAAGATGGAATGAATGCCTGTCCAAATGTGAGGCTGGAAATGGCGATTTGGGATCATGTCTAAATCCAAGAGTCTATATCACATAATAATGGTCTTGGACTTGGATCTTTTTGCCATGAAATCTTATATGAATTACACTGCTCCACAAAATTCAGATAAATTCACGGGGAGATTTCTAGAAATAGCTTTGGATAATCATCATGGTTGTCTAACTAATCATTTGTTCAAGTCCAGCTAAAATATCATAGTCTCTTCCCTCCCATTCATACCCCTTCTACAAAGTCTAAAAGATAAACTAATAGCTTCTTCATCTCTATTCCAATCATCTTTTACATTCATTCCCTTTTAGGTAGCACACTGGTATATACTTATAAATATGCATATATGATCTTTCCATCTACCTTCCCGCCTCCCCATCCCAGATTTGAACTCTTTGAGGATAGCTCTTCCTATTTTAACCCTGCATGTAAGAACAAACACCAGTTCAGTTCCCAAAAGTTGTTCCTTATGTTGCTGAATGAATCCTAGCTCTGTAAGCCAATGTCATCTGAACCATGAGATACAGGCATCTCTGGCATTCTCACTTCATTTCCCTTTGTAAAAGGAAATGATAAGAATTGTATTTAACAGGAAGCCCTTCAGACCAGAAAGAAAAAAGTAAGGAATCACTAAGTTAAAATGTTTTCAGAGCTCCCAGAAAACTGGGACTCCGCAGCCTTCTACTTAAGGAATTCCCATGTCCATCTTCCCTGTGGGGACTTACCCTGGCAGTGTCCGAACTCATGCTGTCTTGACTGCGCAGGCGTGAATACTCTTCTGCAATGTAGGCAGCTGACTCCTGAGTTAGGACGGGCTTGATAATTTTGGCCACGTGGATGTACTTCCTCATGAAAGCTGCACTCACCATCTTCTCCCTGGACACATACACAGTGAATTCTACTTCTCTGCCACACCTTGGCACCTGGCTGGGATAGGGACTTGGCCTCTCCTCAGAGAAGTCAGGTCAAGATGTAGAGATGCAATCTAGAATACATTACCATAAATCCTATTTACATAGAATGTGTTTAAGACCCTTTCACATATCTTTTCTGAATTGTGTGGCTATTATTCACTTAGATATTATTTGTGAGATGAACAGTACAGGTATGAAGTTTAGGTATTATTTGTCCTACTTAACAGGTAAAAACTATGGCTCAGAGTGGCTTATATGGATTCAAATTCAGTTTTCGGACTCCAAATTCTATGTTCTTAAATGAACAGATTTGAAAACCATATACTTCCGACTGGACCACGGCCCAAAGCAGAGGTATAAAATCTCACATTTCATGCTTTGAGCACTTGATTCCTAGTCTCCTTTATCCAAATCCACCCAGTGCTTGCTATCTACTGCCCCTTCAATGTAAGCCTGTCACAAACGGCTACATGATTTGTGCAGTACTTCATAAGTGAGGATGACATGAAACACCCCCAATTAGTTGGGCATGTAGTCAAAGCCTTCCATTTTAAGAAAAGATCAGAACCTAAGCCTAATCACCACAGACACAAGGCAACTAGCCAGAAAAAGTGGTATATGTTCCTCTCCAGAAAAGAAAATAGGCCCAGAGTATTATAATCCAAGCATGATCCTGCATGGGGGGGCACATAAAAACATGGGCTAATATGACCTAAATCTCGGGTTCCCTCAAGGGAGAAGCATGAAGAATGCTCACTTTTTCTTCTTGGTCCCATGCAGAAGGTTGTCATGCTTCTCATAAATCTGGGTGTCCTGCTGGTCCTCCTGGTTAAAATTCGGATCGTCTGTGGCCAGGATATCAATGGCACTACCCAAAGGCATAGCTGGAAAACCCAAGTTGGGGGAAGAGAGTAAAAAGTTGCTTCTTCTGAAGACAGAGAAGACTAACAAAGCAAAGACAGACATACACACACACGTGGAGCCCACAAACAAGAAAGGTGGGACCACCTGGTTCACAGATGCTCAAAGGCATTCTCAGGCCCAGAAATGGACAGAAGACACACCTCAGGGTAACTTCCAATGAGCAAGAAGGGAATGGCCAGGCAGGCAAGGGCTCAACATCAACTCAGACACTCCCCACCACCCAGGCCAGGCCTGAGGTAACAGCATCTACTTAGATTTCTTTCCATTAGTTCATCTTACTCTTCTCACAGCCTTACCATCGCCATCCTGCTCTCCGGGTGCCCTGTAACGGTGCATCCTAAGGACATGGTCTGAGATCTCTCGATCCTGCTCAGGATCCATCTGATCCAGCATGATGAAGAGTAAGTCAAATCGGGACAGCAGTGAGTCCTGCAGCCCAATGTTCTCCATAGGGGTCTTGTACTGATCGTACTGCAGAACGTAAGGGAAAAGGAGAGTGGAGGTGACATCAATGGGAAGAAAGGACGAGGAGGCTATTTAAAGCTATTAATGATTCTGTTACTAGGTATTTATCATACAGATATATTTCCAAATGTATAACAAAATATACGTAAAGGGATATTCATTACAACTTCATTTCATAATAGCAAGAGGAAAAGGGGGAAACACCAAATGCCCATCAAAAGGCTACTAAAAAGACAGAAATGCTGAGGCATAGGAGCACATGTACCCCAATGTTCATAGCAGCACTCTCCACAATAGCTAAAACATGGAAAGAGCCTAAGTGTCCATCAACAGATGAATGGATCAAGAAGATGTGGTTTATCTATACCATGGAATACTACATGGCAATGAGAAACAATGAAATCTGGCCATGTGTAGCCACATGGATGGACCTTGAGGGTGTTATGCTGAGCGAAATAAGTCAGGCAGAGAAGGACAAATATCATATGTTTGCACGTATAGGAGGATTAGGAGGAACTTGACGGAGGAACAAGGGGGAGAAGAAGGGCGGAAATGGTGGGGGAAAGGGAGAGAGGCAAACCATGAGAGACTCTTGAATGCTGACAAAAACTGAGGACTGATGGATGTGGGGGGGAGGGGGGATGGGCATGGAGGAGGGCACTTTGGGGATGAGCACTGAGTGTTATGTAGAAACTAATTTGACAATAAACTATTTGTAAAAAAAAAAATAATAAAAGTAAAAAAAAAAAAAAAAAGGCTACTAGAAAGAAAGAAAAAGTAAAGGCAAAATTCAGTAAACCCCAAGCTGGATGAATGTAAAAGATTCCACATTAGCACATCATCATCATGGTAAAAAACAAAGGTAGACAGACTAATTCGTTAACAAAGAGATCACCTAGCTGTTGGTACATGCTTAAGTGATTTCCTGAAACAGTTAAGAACTATTAGTGGCTATCTCCTGAGAAAGAGAAAAGAGAGAAGAAGCTTTTAATGTCCCTATCGTACTCCCTGTCCTGTTTATATATGTTACCATCTGCATGTAGTACTTTGGTTGTAATGGCCATACAGGCTACTGGGCTGTCAGACTGCAGGTCGCTTTTGTTTTCTGGTTTGTATTTTTAAAGTTATTGCAAACAAGTAACTTTCCAGGGGATTCTGATGTGTGTGAAAAGGTGAGGAACCACTGCCCTATATCAAAGGCAGTAACAAAATGATGGATGAGCTTCCTTTAGTCTTTGGCCTATTATTTCTCTGGGGCATCAAGAATAAACTTCATGGCTCAGTTATTCAACAAAACCAAACGAAGGTGAAGACAACAGTAAAGTACCTAATTCCACTCACCCTGCCATAGACGGGGTTGGCAGCTGCCAAAACACTACAGCGGGCATTGAGCCGAGCATGGATGCCGGCCTTGGCAATGGTGACTCGACCCTGCTCCATCACTTCGTGGATGGCCGTGCGGTCCATGTCAGACATCTTGTCAAATTCATCAATACAAACCACACCTCGGTCAGCAAGGACCATGGCCCCTGCTTCCAGACGGCGTTCCCCTGGGAAATGAGGACAAGGGGAAAGACTTCAATCTCCTTCTTAGGCACTCACTGTCACTCATGAGAACACAGTGAAGGGCTGTTAAGTTCCTAGAGCCTTAGAGAAAAGCCTTAGTGGGTCAACATTTTAAGGTCCAATCTGAATGATCCCTCAGCAGACAGCCTCTAACACACTTGACTCAAGGATTCTCTATCTTCATCCTCACGTAACTCCCCAACTAGATCTCTACTCTCTTTTCACTAGTCTTCAAATCCCTTCCTCTAACTTATAAATAGCACAATCTTCATTTTTATGTCCCTTCCAATTTGCAAAGCTTTCTCCTCCAAAAACTGAAGACAGTCTTGTCAATAGAGGGTCACCCAAAGACTTAAATAATTCACCCACTATTACCAGAAGCTACTCAGTCCTCTACAACTGGGCTCAAACTAACCTTTCAAGTTTTGGGCTCAAACTAACCTTTCAAGTTTATCTTCCCAACACAGGCCAGTGCAGAGAGCAAACTCAAAGAATCTATGCTTTATCTTGCTGCGGGACCTTTGCGAAAGACCTTTATACCCTTACCGGTTTCCTGGTCTGTGGTGACAGCAGCGGTCAGACCCACTCCAGAGGAACCCCGGCCAGTAGTGGGGATAGCCCTGGGCGCAGTGCACAGCACATAGCGTAGAAGCTGAGACTTGGCAACCGATGGGTCTCCTGTAATTAGGTGAGGGTAATAGTGACTTATTAGGAAACTCCTCCTGCCCACCCGCACCAGCAAGTTCTGCCAAGAGCATAATAGAAATTTATAACAATTGGTTGTTAATTGTATTCCTTTCACTTTCCTTTACTATTCATGGAAGAATATATTTTAGATATTATATATCAGGAACCCCCAAAATGAGAATAGTAAGAAAAGACTTTCAGCCTTTGATGGAATTGAAATACACTAGGTAAAGAATACACAATCTTACAGATTACAGATTCCCACAACCACACTCCACAAGGGAAGACCAAGAGTCTAAAGCAAATCCCCAATGCCATACCAATTAGGAGAATATTGATGTCTCCACGGATGTGGCTGCCATTTTCTAGGTCTCGTTCCACTCCTCCCAAGAGCAAGCAGAGAATTGCTTTCTTAACATAGTCATGTCCATGGATGCTAGGGGCCAACGACTTGGCCAGCTGGTCAAAGATATCCTATAGGAAGAATAACCAAAGCTGTAAAGAGCCTGGTGAGATTCAGTGGAGTTTTGCTGAGCTCCGCTTTATACTTTAACCTATAAAAATACTTGAAGACGCCCACAGATACAGACACTGTTTCTAACTGTAAAAGGCTTTCTTAAGACAAATCCCACTGATCAAACCACTAACAGAACAGATACAGAGAAAGCCTGGATTCCAAAACTTGCTTAGAGGTTTAATATTTAAGAAAAAAAAGTATTTCCAGGTTCAAAACACATTAGGTTGAATAAGAATGTGTACTGTGCTTCCAGTGACCTTGATCACACAGGCATATACAGATGACCCTTGTACAATGCAGAGGTTACCAGTGCCAACCACTTCATGCAGTTGAAAATCCAGGTAGAACTTTTGATTCCCCAAAACCTTTACTAATACCCTACTGTTGGGGGAAAGCTTACAAGTAACAAAAAATCAGTCAATTAATACATTTTTGTGTATGATATGTGTTCTATGTTCTATTTAGCTAGAGAAAGGAAAAGATCATTAAGAAAATCATAAAGAAGAGAAATGCATTTACAGTACTTGTATTTATCAAAAAAAACCCACAAGTAAACCCACACAGTTCAAACTTGTGTTGTTCAAGTGTCAACTATATTTTCTTCAATTCTAATGTACTCATTGATAACATTGATATTCTTTAATTCTAGTATTTGTTTTAGGTTCACTCAGCGGCCTAGCAGGTAAGACAACAGAAATATTAAACAGCAAAAACACTTTTACTTGCTGACTGGGTCAAAACTAAAAGCTAACACCACATACTTCAAAGGAGACCTTCCTCCTGATCCAGTACAAAGATGAAAGGTGGCCCATGGCCAAACACAACCCTCACAAATCCATCCCCAGCTTCAGATCCCTAAAGGATGCTCAAACCTTGGAACGAGTTTTACTGAACTTCTTGATCTTGGCTATATCCTCAGCAGAGAATGAAGGCTGAATATCCTTGCTCATTTGCTTCACATTACAGGCAATCAGGATAGTCCTGGGACAAAGAGAATGAAAGGAAGCCTGCTGTTTTCAATTCTAAACATCAGAGCCAACAGCACATTGGGAAAAAATAAAGGAAAAAAGAGAAAAAGGCAAGTTGTTTTGAATTCAACAACTGAGTCTTAGTCAATGATTCTTCACCACAGGAATTTATTCTGTGTACTGTCCCACAGAACTTCAAACAGAAGAGTAGATGAGAAGGAGATGGGGATACATGAGAAACTCTCCCAGGTAAGCCATGAGGCTATAACCATGTTCCCAGTAACTCCTGCTTTTAGCATAATAATGATAGTATTATCAGCTTATCTGATGGAGAAGAGGCAACCTATCTCCCAGGCAGGCAGACTGCTCCACATGTCTGATGTGATGTTCCAGAATATAGCAAACTGGCTCAAGAATACAAGAAATGTAAGCTGCAAGCAGCATGCCAAATATCGCACAACTGCCCCTTTACCTGAAGGTTCCTGAGGTATAGCCTCCCTTCTTTCCAGGAAGGCAACGGTAGGTCCCCACCACCTGGACTCGATCACCAGGCTTCACTTTATCTACCAAGTCATCATCCAGAATGACATCCACAGAACGGGGGAGTTGGCCAGCGGGGGCCTTCTCTGGCATCTCCTGGATGGTGATGGTCTGGTGGTCTTTGTAGACAGAAAGGCCATATTCTGTCTCAAGGGGATTGTTTTCCTCATCCTTAAAAAGACACGCAGAAGAGCATTATCTCATCGTGGTCTTAAAAATGCCACACTCATTTTTGGCAGGAAACAAATACTATTTGAATATGACCTGAGGTTTTAGTATTTAGGAAGTAAACAAGCCAAATGTCTTCTCTAGCTTTTTCCATTCCCATCTCTTCTAGTAACAAATCATTTAATGGGAGGGACAACTACAGTCCGAAGGAATCACAGCTATATTAACATCTAAAATAAGATTCTTATTTCCCCTATACTATGATGTAATATTTCCACTCCTAGGTAATACCTGACAGAAACATTTGCCCAAAGCCACACACTACAATGTTCACAGCAGTATTATTCCTAATAGCCCAAATTAGAAAATATCCAAATCCCATCAACAGAATTGTTAAATAAATGTAGCACATCCATACAAGTCAATACTACACAGTGATGAAAATGTATGAAATACACCTATTTACAACATGGATGAATCTCAAAAACATCTGTTGAACAAAGGAAGCCCAACATGGGAGTCTTCAAATATATAAAAACAAGCAAGCTGAGTAGTATCAGGATACGGTTAAGCCTTGGGGAGTGTGGGCCCTCAAAACCTTCTGAGTGCTAGGAAGGTTCTATTTCCTGGTATGGATGCTGATTTTACAGGCATATTCAGTTTGTGAAATTTCACTGAGCTGCAAACTCATATCAGCTTTCCTATATATATATATTTTAAACTTTAATGAAAACATTTTAAACTTTGATTTCTTGCCATTTTAGTTTCTAAACACACAACAGCTGTCACTTACTAAGTGCTTACTATATACAAGGCATCGTGCTATTATCTCATGAGATTATCTCATATAACCCTCACAACAACTCTGTCATGCAGATGTTTTTCACATTTAACATATAAGGAAACTGAGGCTGGAGAGTTTCCCAAAAGTCACACAGGCAGAGCCAGGACTTGAGGCAAGTATAACTCCAAAGGCATATTCTTAAGTACCACACTAGATGACCTCTAGGAGTCCAAAGTATTTCAGGTATTGGGCAAAAAAGCCTGACCCCAGTAATCAACAGTAGAGTACTCTCTGAGTAGTTACTGAAGACATTCTAGAAGGCAGGCTCTTAATGAAGAAGAGAGCAGGGAGACTTAGACAACCCAAATGGCCTGAAAGAAAAAGACATAGGTCCTAGTCCTTAGAGTCACCACTGAGACCATATGCAAGTCACTTAACCTCTCCAAACCTCAGCATTTCACCTAGAGGCAGACTAAATGATTCTAAATCATGCTTATAATTCTAAGATATTTGTTCTTGTTTCATTTCATTTCAGATTCCTGCACCAGTTGAGTTGAAAACAAGAACTGGGTCTCATTCATATCTGTGTTCTCCACAGTACTTAACAATTCTTTGGATACAGTACCTCTCAATTATTATTTGATGGAAGGGACAGGTATTCTTTGATAGAATGAATTCAGACATCAAGAAACCAACATTAACCATCTTTTGTCATTAAGGAGGCCTCACATTGGCCTCAATTCGTATCAACTGACCACTTAAGAATTAAGCCATTTCCAATGCCATTCTTTCCCCAAACCCAAAGTAAAAGAGTTGCAAAGATTTCCTATTAGCATCGTAGCATATCCTCCCATATTACTTTAAGTAGATTATAAAATTACATCTAACTTTGCTAAAAGATCAACGTAGATTGATGGTTTTCAACCCTTCCAAAATTTCTCAAATTTTCTGAAGTGAATATTTATAGAATTGGAAGACTTTCCATATTAAACTCTGGCTAGCAATCAATCTTTCCTTCAGGTTAATCCTTACTTTTCATCTTATTTACTTCTAGAAGACCTCAGACATAATTATTTGCATAAAAACAGACATCTTGGATTCCAACCTCCAAAGAAGCCCAATTAATTCATTCTCCTCACCTTGGTAGGATAGACAGAGCTGGATGGAAAAGCCACCAGGCTGGTGAGATCAGAATAACGTCGCTCTATAGTCTTCTTGGTAGCAGGGCAGTAGTGGACACTGCGGACGACTTTGGGACGAACTAGAGAGCCTAGGAATGGAAAACATGCATAGTAAGTCACGCAACTAGGCAGTGACAGGGTGGAATCTGACTCGGGCAAGTCTGTCATAACTCCAAATACTGTGTTCTTCTGACTAGTTACAGCTACTTCATTAATATTTGTCATTTATTCATTTTTATATTTATATGGAGAACATAAACATATCTGTATAAAATCCAAAGTACAACTGAGCCTGTCCAAGAAGTCAGGCACAGGAGTTCAGAATTAGAACGAGGAGATTGCCAAGAACCAAGATTCCCCTACTCTCAGCAAAATTCACCATTCTGGACCCCCTGATCATGACACTCACAGCTCCTTCCAATTTAGCCCTGTAAGTTCAATGCTATATGCTACCTGTCTCTGCTTGGCCTCTCCTGCTTTCCCAGCCCCCCCAAGTCTATCCCGCCTCCATTCCCCTAGTCCCCTACTTGAAGCCACTCACACTTAGTGACAATGCCCTCCACGCAGACCACACAGCTGAGGAAGCAGGAGGTAAGAGTCCGGGGAGACACATGCTTGGAGCCAAAGCTGCCCTCCAATCCTATGTAGAACTCTTCATACTGCTTGGCATAGGTAGCATCAATGGAGGCCACAAATTCCTTTAAAGCCCGCTGAAAGGCAACCAGCTCCTCAAAGGCATTGCTCAGGAGGCTGCATATGGGCAAGAAAAAGAACAATTCAGCAGAGAAAGAAAAATTCAAAAAAGCTGACCCTCAAAAACAAAAGTGGACATTCTTTGGTGATGAAGCCAACAAGTGAAAATCTAGCTCTTCCTTTCTCCTGCCATCCTACAAGACTCAGTAAATTATATCAGAACTGACGCGAACATTAGTTCAACTTTTCAAAGATGCAGAAATGATACTCAGTTAAACATGAAAGGGGGACCTCTCGAGAGGAAAATGCCCACCACCCACCTTGGGAAGAAGAAGAAAAAAAAAAACCACAGGAGGTGAGGCAATAAGGGTCAAAAACATTTCATCCAGGTCCTCTCCTGACAAGCCTGTTCCAATATGGAGAAGAGAAAAGGGAGCCATTCTCACTCAGAGCAAGAATATCCAATTGGAAACCCTTGCCACATACCGGTTAGCCCGCTTCTCATTTTTCCTGCGCAGGTCATTCACATTGACAATCAACCGGTATTGGTTGTCACTGATCAGCTCCCGAACTTTGCTCTGATAAATTCCCTGGTCTTCCTGCAAAACAGCCACCACATATCGCAACAGCCATAAATTCAAATACAAGATGGTATTTAAACAGAGGCAGTTCTCACAGCAAGATGTAGGTCATTCTCTATAGCACAGCTGATGCCCAACTTCTTCACATTTTCACTCACTAGCCTGAAATTCCAAATACACCCTACAAGGCCAATGCAGGAGTGTAATGATTTCCTCAACGTCCATGGTATTATTCCTGTTGACAACTACAGCTTTTCTGTTTGCGGTCATTTCTCAACTTAATGGGGAATTAAAACAAGCTCATAATAAGTCTACAAGGACAAGTAAAAATCTTGTCAAAACAAGATTAGCATATCAAAATGACTTTTCATTTAAGAATTATATAGGGAATTAAGAGATTTATTTCTCGATGGGCTGTACATAGAATAGGAAAAGAGTTCTCTGTATCCAGACCTAAAGGAATAGGGAGCCTTTCCTATTTGTTTACAGACACAGCATTATCAACCTTTTAAAATAATGTATTCTAAGGCTTCCAATCTAGCGTGGCATACAAAACCCCCTTTACCAGCAAACCAAACACTTGCCTCTGCATCTCCTTTGGCACTGAAAAAGAAGAATGCGGTCAAATGAGAAGGAAGTCTTTTCGCCCTGTAGGAAGTCAGTCATTAGAATCTGCGCATCGATAACGTCAGGGTCATTACCGTTCTACTGCCTTCTTTCCCCCACACTCCCTCCAAATTCGAAGAGCAGGGAGTAATTTCCAAAAGGTCAAAGGGGGCTTTGCTATTTTGTGTGCACTTTCGCGAGACCCCGCTATCGTTTGCACTTATGAGAAAGTTACAGGATCGCTCTGTCAAGGATGCACCTACAGGCGACCAACTAATGACGGATTCCACCGCGAGAAACGTTACGAGATCGGGCATGGAAGGGTCCTGAGGGCGCCGGTCAGGCCGCAACAGTCCGGAAGCCCAGCGGTCCTCTCGGGAGCTCCAGGGCCCTGCCGCGGCTCCGCGTGGAGTCGTAGCTAACCTCGGCCCGTCAGCGTCCCCCGGGGCTCCAAGCAACAGAGAAGCGCGACCCCGTGCCTTTCTCACCTCATCATCCAAGAAGTCCAGGTAATCTCTCTGCGCCTCTCGCAGCTCCACGTCGTCCAGTACCACGGTCCCCGCCATGCTCGCCGCCTGGGAACCGCTACCTCCAAAACTGCGCGGAGGGCCCCCAGATGACCCAGCCCTGGCGCGAAAACTACCGAACTTTTCCCGCCACCAAAGACTACGTCGAGAAGGGGCGGGGCTTTGCTGGGAATATACACATTCTGATTGGCTGATTCCTCTTACGCGAGAATAGCGAGTATCCAATCGGGAACTTTTTCTTCTTCGGCTTTATGGAGCGGCGCTGAGCCTTGGCGGGAAAACGTGACCTCTGGGGCTGTTTCTCCCCCCACTGACAAGAAAACTGACCAATGGGGCTGAGAGGAGGCTCGCGGAGTCTGGTCATTGGGCAGACGGGCAAGACGGGGAAGCATTCTGGGAGTCGTAGTCTTCCCCCTTTTACCGGATGTTTTGCAGGTTTTTTTTTTTTTTTTTTTTTTTTTAAGCTGAGGTTCCCTGACCTGCAGCTGAGTGAGGAAACCGCCTGGCGGTAGTACTGAGAGTAGCCGAAACGTCAGAGAATGGGAGTCGATACTCAGGGAGATAAAAACATAAAAGCAAATCGTTTTTTAAATGTATTAAATCAAGTGTGCTGGATATGTCTCCCAAGCAACTGCTCTCAGGTGGCATTCCAAAAAAAAAAAAAAGTGGATTTTGAGAATCTGTGGGGTGGAAATAGAATAATAACATCTTTGGGAAAGGTTCTTTAGTTGAGCGACCCATTTGATCTCTGACTACTGTTGCCTGAAAAACCCCACAAACATCAGGCCGCGGAGAACGACGAAGTGAAAGAAACGTTTTCAGTATTGTATCCCACTCTCCCCCCCCCCCCCCAAGAGATGGCCTCGCGTGTTATTCTACAAAATTCTGGACATAATTACTACACCATCTTACTTGCAAATGGGTAAGTTAAAGCCTTTCTCGCCTTATAAGGGGATCACAAGATCTTTTAAAATAACTTAGTTTATTGGAAGATAATTAAACTGAAGAAGAAACAGAAAAAAAGTGTTTAAACCACTCTTAAGTATCAGTCGCAATTAAGATATAGCAAATCTGAAATTACAAATAACTAAAAGATCAATTGCATGTCCAAGGTTTTCTGTTTTGTTTTGTTTTTAATGTTTTGTGGTTTATGTTTTTGAGTTTTATTTTGGGGGCGTAATTTATATATAGTAAAACACACAAATCATTAAGTGTACAACTCCATACATGTGTATATTAAACGGTCTTCAGGACTCACTGTGCCCAGTATTCTAAGTGTAATCTGCCTAAACAAAATGTATATGCCATCTATTTGTATGTGAAATATGTATATTTATTTAGTTATTATACAATTTATGGTATCTATGTGTTTAGTGTCATCCTAGAGGGCGGATAGATACATTGATCCTCAGTCAAGGAACAAAGTTGTTCATCTGACTGCTTACTTTTGTTTATATTAACATGCAAAATTTTTAGAAATAGAAATTCTAGGTGAGGATCCTATTTGAAATTATATAGTAAGACATAATTCCATATTAATTTAAGAGTACCCTTATCACCTGATCATAACTATCGCTTTATGAATATATTGAAAGCAGTACTGATGATATTTTCAGCTCTGGAAACAAATTGAAAATACCAAAAGAACCAGGCAGCTTAGTTCAAGCAAGCAAATTAAGCAAATAATTTCATTTGTAAGGGAAAAATCCAAAGAAGTGGGAGTCTGAAACCAAATCTTTGACTCTAACACACTCTTCTGTGGGCTTCAGTTTCCTCATATAAAAAATGAGGAAGTTAGAAAACTGTTAATAATTTATCCCATTCTAACATTCCATGAGCCTACGGCAAATTTGGAAACTGTGTAAAGACAGTTCCATTTAAAATTAATCACACTGTGGTTCTTGATAGACTTTATTTGCTTTAATGTCATAATCTTCAGTCACGAAGGACTTTTGGATATTTAATTGGTGTTTCTCCAATTCATTAGGGTGTAGATCTTTGAGCAAAAAAAGTGTTTCATTTGTTCTTTCCTATTCCTCCAAACTATTCAGAAAGAAAAACCAATCAAGTTGCTACTTAAAAAAAAAAAAAAAAGTTGGGGGCATTTGTACACATCTTATATAGAGTCTACTTGAGCTTAGCCAATGTACTTCTCCCTCAGAATGAAGCACATGTAACCTGATGAAGTAGTGGATCAGTAGTTTTTATTTTTGCTCACAGTCTTGCTTTCCCTCTGTATCCATTCTCTCTACCCTATGTCTTGATGAACCCAAGCCAGTTTCCAAGGCTAAAGACACCCTAGGGGGCTCCCTGGAGAATAGAAGTATGTAGGAAGATGGTAGAAAACAAAAATTGTGAAGTTTATGTAGTACTTCCATTTTCCATTTCCTTAGGGACCAGAAAGTAATCCAAGGGCACCATAAGAAATAGGCTTTATTTTCACTAAATGATACACATCTTTGTTCAAACCAATGAACAATATTATGTGTTGCAAAACTTCAAACAATACCCTGTGATTAAAGACTAGCTTTAGGCACCAGGAAAATGCCATAGGCCATTATAGACCTTTGGCACTCTCTCAAAGGCCACAAAAGATCGGAAGTCAAAAATTCTACACCTCTAGGTGCCAGAGCAGCCTAAGGAATAACCTATAGGTCCAGGCTTGCCCTGGCCAAGCAGATCTCTTCCTTTGTGTTATGTAGACTAGTCAGAATATTCTCCAGATGACATAGTCTGGGGTCTTGAGCACCAAGATCAGCAGTCTCATTTCTCTTTCTGGCTGCTCTAATTATTAGTTGTGTGACTGTGGGCAACTTAATTACTCTACCTCAGTTTCCTCATCTTGAAAGTTAGAAGTCATATCTAATTTAAAGAATGTCTTGAGTACTCAGTGAGGTAATAACAGATAAAAAATACTTAGGAATGTAGTAAGCACTAAATAAATATTAACCACCATGGTGGTGGTGGTGAGATGGTGGTGGAGGTGTTGATTGGAAAAGAGTCAAGAGATGTTGGAGGAAAAGAGGAGTAAGCACTCTGTTGCATTCTGGAACAATTCAAACAATCACATTCAAGCCTCCTTCTCACTCCCACCAAAAGCTTAGAATAGAACCAATCCATGCATTTCTTTCAGTGAGAGTTTGTTGGCTGCACATCCAATAAGGCTAAAGGAGTAATATATTCAGAGAGTATTATCTGGCCCCAGTTCTACTTGTGTTGAGAGCCATCAGAGACATTTACTCCATGCTTAAGGAACTTTATGGAAGAAGACCAAATGGTCTCTGCAGTTAGCCAGCATGTCTTGTACCAAGAAGAGAGTGTCAAAGCATCTGCCCTCATCCTTTGCTTCCCGGAATCCTTCAGGTTAGATACGCTATAAAGAGTAGGAAAATGCGTGAGCCAAAGAGCATCAGTGATACTGATTTACCCATTAGATTTGACAACATAGTTGGCCTACTGACAATTTGTGATTCATCGTCGTTTGCCAAATTTAATTTCAGCAATTGGATTTCTTTGTCCTGGAAAGGTCATCGCCATTCTTTTTTCTTTTTCTTCCAGCTTTACTAAGGTTTTATTGACAAATAAAAGGTCATTCCCATTCTTAACTGCACAAGTTTCCTTAAAGCTCTGGCTGAAGAGTTTTGCTCCAGTGCTTAAAGATTTGCAGGAGAAAATTACCAAAAACTTACTGAGTAAATAATTCATTTACATATGAGTATCTCTAATAATAACCATCCTGGAAATCTGTCTTGATTTGTGTGCACTTGAAAAAATACAGCCTCTTATGCTTTTAATTGTGTCAGTGTAATGAAATGTTGAAGAGATTTAGCATATCAATCAGCCAAATATTAGTTGAACATCTGTATACTGAGTTCTGTCCTTGACCAGAGACTTTAGCTCAGTATTGCCCAATGGAAATACAATGCATGACACATATATAACATAAGGTTTTCTAGTACCTACATTTTAAAAAGTAAAAACAGTTTTTACTTTTGAGAGGTGAAATTTTAATGTGACAATACATTTTATTTAACCCAATTTATCTAAAATACCATTTCAATATGTATTCCATATAAAAGAAGTATTAATAAGATATTTGACTTTTCTAATTTTTTTTCCTTTTTGAGAGCAAGTGAGAGTGCACGTGCATGCGTGTGCAATTGGGGAATTGGGGAAGTGGCAGAGGGAAAGGGAGGGAGAATCTTAAGCAGGCTACAAGCTCAGCACAGAGCCAAGCGTGAGGTGGGGCTCAATCCCAGGACCTTGAGGTCATGACCCGAGCCGAAATCAAGAGTCAGGTGTTTAACCCACTGAGTCACCCAGGTGCCCCTTGCTTTTTTTTTTATACTGAGTCTTTAAAATCCAGTGTGATTTTTATACTTACCCATATCCCATTTCAGACTAGCCATGTTTCAGAAGCTCAGTTACCACATGTGGGTAGTATCTACCATATTAGCACAACTTTAGAATACAAAAATCGATCTCTTGAAATAGGTTATGATTTAACTTGAAAAAATAGCAATCATATATTGAACATATACTATATGTCAGACACTATGCTAAGTATTTTACCATATAATCTTATTTAATGTTTAAAATACTTTATGATGTGGTTGGGTTTTTTTTAAGTTTATTTATTTATTTTGAGAGACAGAGACAGTGTGAACAGGGGAGGGGTAGAGAGAGAAGGAGACAGAAAATCCCAAGTAGGCTCTGTGCTGCCAGTGCAGAGCCTGATGCAGGGGTTGAACTCGTGAAACTGTGAGATCATGACCTGAGTCGAAACCAAGAGTCAGATGCTTAACCAACTGAGCCACCCAGGTACTCCATAATGTGGTTATTTCTAATCCTCATTTTACAAGTGAGGAGACTACAGCTTTAAAGATCCCAGAGAGTACCTGGATGGCTCAGTCGGTTAAGTCTCCAACTTTAGCTGAGGTCATGATCGTGCAGTCCGTGGCTTCAAGCCCTGTTTTGGGCTCTGTGCTGACAACTCAGAGCCTTGAGCCTGCTTTCTCTCTCTCAAAAATGAATAAACATTAAAAAAAAAAAAAAAAAAAAAAAAAACATAAAAAAAAAAAAAAAAAAAAAGGATCCCAGAATTCCATACCAGTAAAGGATAAAAACAGAATATGAACCCAGGGCTGTATCGCTATACTGAATACTCCTTTAAGAACAAATGAGTGGGGCTCCTGGGTGGCTCAATCGGTTAAGCATCTGACTTCAGTTCAGGTCATGATCTCATGGTTCGTAGGT